AGAGAGAGAGAGAGAGAGAGAGAGAGAGAGAGAGAGAGAGAGAGAGAAACTAGAACTAAAACCTGGTCTGAGTGATTAGCGTCACCTGTGGCAGGAGCCGGGAGACCAGCCGTCCACCCTGGGTGGCCATGATAGAAGAACAAGGACTCTTTGCCAGAGGATTATGAGGGCAATACTCTGTCACCTAGTTTTTCAAAATTAAAAAAAAATTGTATGAATGTCTGCAGATATAGCTCAGTGGTAGAGCACTTGCCTACTATGTCCAGACCCGTAGGTTCCATCGCCAGCACTCACAAAAGAAGATCTTCACTGAAGGCTCACGTTGTAGAGTCAGATTTTTAGGAGCACAGATTGTGTTGTGGGGAGGGAAGAGACTCTGCTCTATTGGACAGTGGAGGGGGGAAGCAGTAGAAATCTGAGGGGTAGACTCAGGCTGCTGCTATGGCCTCCCCACTTTTTGAAGTTTTTACCTGGTAAGGAGGGATGACCTTGTGGTTTCACAAGATCACTGACTTGTAAACTTTACTCTTTGACTGCCCCCTCCCCTTGAAAAGTAGATTTTTGAACCATCTTTAGGTAAATTCTGGAGACTTTTTCATAGAATGAACTTAAGCAGGTTGTTGTTTAAAGGACTTATGGCCATTTAGCTGAATTCAAGGGGCCCTAGTTCAAGCCTTAGGCTTCCTTAGTGAGCTGGTACCAGGTCCAGAGGGTGTCAGCGGACAGTGAAGTGGGTACCTTTCAGGCGTGTCTGGGATCTTAGGTCCTAGATCCTGGCTAGAGGGGAGCAGAGCAGTGACAACAGCCAGGCCCTGCAGCTGAGCTCCCATCCTGAGGTCCCAGCCGCAGGGGGCAGCTGCACTAGCGACCTCCCTGCCCCCCTTCATGACCCCAAGGTTGGAACTGAATCCTGGATTTGTGACTCAGAGACTCCTGTGCCCTCAATAGAGATAAACTCTGAGTTTTCAACATTAAGAAGGTCATAGGAGCCCTTCCCCTCCCCACCCGCACACATTGCTCTTCCCACTGAGAAGACGCAGAAAGAGAAAGCAGAGAGCCGACGTCGGGTCTCTGAGAAGGATAATTTCAGTTGGCTTTTCTCCTAGTATCACACTCTCTGCTGATCAGAGTGATTGTTATCTAGAGGTTTCCAGAGCTTCATGGAACATTCTGTCAAACGGTGAGACTCTCAAGTTAATGTTTAACATTAAGTACAAATCGGACAAGGAGGGGCATGGGGACCTAAGCTGGTCCGCTCACTGTCACAGTAATTGGTTCAATTTTTAAATACATTTTCTGGTTCACAGTTGCTGCTGCCACCTATGTTGGCAGTCATAATCCCATGGTCACCTTCCCACGTGATTCTTCTTTCAGTGTGTATTAACTCCATCAGTGCCACATTGCTTAAGATTTCCTTTAAATGTCTAACTCAAAGGATTGCTAGACCTCCTTAAAAGACCTTTAAAGGGCTTTATAGTATCTACTACGTGCAAATGACCACATGGAAAGCTCGCGGCAGGAACTTTACATCAGTCATTTCACTTCCTAATTAATCATACTTATTTTTGAAATCTGTGTCACTTGGTGGGAACAGTGCATATGCTGCCTGGGGGAGGCACACAGTGATAAAGGCAGTGTTTAACCAGTCTGAAAAACCATGACACACGCACTGCCTTCAGATATCAGTTTATAAACGATTTCACAACATAAAATTTGTATTTGCACAGGGTACTTATGTAAAGTTTATCTTTTGATAGCTGTAAAACAGTTCAAATACTCAGGTTTTATGTACCAAGGTTAAACTGGATTCCCAGGTTTCCCTTCCACCTCACCCCATTCCAAGTAATTAGTTAATTAAGGTCACACCCAGTAAATGCTTCTCTGGAAGACTTCTGAGCCTCCTTTGGAGTAACCTGGTCTGTGTTGACAGGCCATATGACATGTGCTTTGGACTACTCAGGGCTCTTCTGTGTGGGAAATAGGACAAGGGACAAGGCCAATTTTGTTCTTGTCACAATACAAAGCAATTCTTGTAGGCAAAAAGAAAAAAAACTAGAAAAAAACCAAAGGAATAAAAACTATAAAATATTTAACAATGACCAGCAAAGTATTTTTGCAATAATCTGAAGTTGTGACTATAATCATCCTGCAAGCTAGTAATTTTTAAAATATGATTGCACGGCACCAAATTATTATTATCTTCACCATTCAATTCTTTTGTTTGGCAAAATTACACATAACGTGGAAAACAAAGTGCACAAGGGAAGAAAGCCATAACCTGCTCATTGTTTCACCCTCTCATTCATCTCCCCCTCGGCTGAGCCTGGCAGATCAGAGCACAGAGGGAAGCCAGCGCTTTGCTGGTTGCTGAGCTGGGAATGCCAGGGAAACTGAGTCAGACAGAGAGGGATATCCTGAATGTGACCTGTGTGGTCTTTGGAGGCTGTCAAAGGCTATTAACTATATTTTGATAATTATGTGGATGCAAAATAATTTCAATGATGCTCAATTTATTGTGGTGTGATACATGAGTGTGTAACTGGTGTGTTTCTGCATATGTGCATGTATATTGCTGTGTGTTTATGCATGTGTGTATGTGCATGTGTGTGCTGAGTGGGTATGTGTGTTCTGTGTATTTACATGTGTGTGGGGGTGTACGTGTGTATGTTGCAATGCTTATGTGGACATCAGAGAACAACTTAAGGAAATTGGTTCTAACCTTCTGCCTTGTGAGGTAAGGCCTTCCTGAGCTGCTGGCTCAGGAGCTTGCAGGAATTACCCCTCTCTCAATCTCCCTCTTGTTGTTTTAGCAGTGCTGAGGGTACAGATGTGCGCCTCCGCAT